CAGTGATGGATTACGTATGGGCGCTAAACCTGTTTGAAGACAGAAAACTAGAAGAAGAATATTCATTACAACCCAACTGCGGTTTTGCGTTCAAACTATGTTCTATTATGAAGAATATGTAACATGTTTTCGTTTTTTTTAATCAGTGTTTGTTAGCGAAAAAAACATCACTTCATTAGTTCGATTAGGCCACGAGAAGCATTTTTAAAAGCATCAACGATTTTGTATTATTATCTGATTTAGCTGCCATACATAGATGAATGAAGAATGAAGCTTTTTCATGTTTCAAGATATATGCAGCTGTCGATAAATAAACAATCCCAGGAAATCGCATTTTAAAAAATATCCCACAACAAAGTCAATGATAGCTAATACTACATGTTTTGTTTACACTTGTTTGAAGGAAACGAAAGATGAAATGGCTTACATAGAGTCCAAAAATAGATACTAATACACTTGGTCATTTATATTCTACCAATAACACCTAGGGTTTTCGCCTCATTCATAAAGATACAATTTACTCTATGTTTACAGCGATGTTATTGCCAGATATACAAAGGTGGGACCCAGCAAGTGTACTGAAAAAAGTCCGCAATTGTATATCCGCCCTTATCCAGCTCCCCACGTCCTCTTCGCTCCCTCCCTTCGGCTAGGCTTGCTGGGTGTGGGGACATACGTACAGGTTTTCCCTTGTTGGATTTGCTGCTGTTTGCTATAGCGATTTACAGATGATCGTGCCACTAGACTCCTTGTTTTCTGCACGAAATTATAGATATCTTGTTAGTTTTCCCCCTAAGCCACTAGCTTAGGAGGGAAAGTGTCATTTTTGATTTACCTAAACTTCCCCCCAAGTCCCTTCAGTCTAGACCACATTTGCTTCTCCTCAGAGCCGGTTCCGTGGTTTTCTCAAGTTTTCAACTTTGGACTAAAGATGAAGGCTTCCAAGCTCGGGAGCCGCTTGCTCCTCTTCTCCTTTCATCCTCATGTTTTCCATGTGGCGGCACATGAGAAGACAGGAACGGCTCGGGAGGGATAGAGTGAGGGAGAGGAGTGCCTTTACTCGAATGTGCTCTGACTGATTACTTTTCTGGCAGCTCTGTGCAGTTCAGTGTGCTGCCAGGCTCCTCATGCTCTATTTGGGATTTCTAACATCTTGTTAGTTTTCCCCATAATCCCTTGCAAGTGAGGGCTTGTCTCAGCGTGTTTACCCTATTAATGCTTGTATCTCTTGCTGCCCTCTTGGTCACGCAGAGGATACAAGAAACTTTTTATTCTCACCATCGAGCCCATTAAGCGGTTTGCCAAAGGCTTTGAACTCGTGCTGATACTGTCACTCCCCTTCCCCTGTTCTTCCATCCTTTCTTTTTCTATTTGGGTGGTAAGAAATATTTACAAACTTTGCCGCAGGGATATCTAGTACATACATGTAATACCTGTTTATCCGTTTCCTTGATTATCGGAAAGCTTTTTATTTTATTTTCCTTGCTATCAGTATTGTTAATAACATGAAAAAGTCATGTCTAAAATAGTAATAATAACAATGACATCCCTGAAAGTACAAGAAATGGGGAAATTTGGCGATGTACTTTTTGACTTCTTGGTGACAAAGCACTTGTGGACTCATCTATGTGTAAACAAAATTTACAAAATATAACTACAGTGGCCAGAAAATGTATTCATATATTCTAATTCATTTACCAATATATATTCATTTCTTGGTTTCTTCCCACTCCACACCTCCAGTGGCGTAGCCAGAGCGGGAAGATTGGGGGGCAAACAGGTAAGAAAAATAGCAGGGGGTCCGGGAATCTTCCCCCGGGAAAATTTAAGACCACGCCCCTTAGAATGCTGGAAAACGGCTCTTTTTAGATGGCTTATAATGAGCTAAGCCATTTGTGCAATAAAATTTGTAGGGGGGCCCCCTACAAATTTATTGCAGATTTGCACTTTTCTCAGAGACTTTCTGAGCATTGGAGGGGCGGCTGCCCCCCCTTGCCCCCCCCCCCCTCGCTATGCTAATGCACACCTCCCAAAAGGCCTCTGTGATGCTTTCCATAATTCAGTTGTTGATATACAGTCTCTGGTGAAGCACATTTCGGGCAAAGCAAGGTCAAAGGTCACAGGTGGGGTGTGGTTCACATTCCCTGGCTTCAAGTTATGATGATGCCCTATCTTCCCTGTATTCCTTTGTGATGCTCAGCCTTCTGATTGTGTTCTATTTCTCCCAGCTCCCCTATTAGACAGTGCCTTACTTTCTGTTGGTCTGCTACATTCATGGCATTTCCTTGCCCTTCAGTTCCTTGGACCTTACAGGTCCAGGGGCCAGACTGGCATTGGACTCAAAGCCTGGGCATTGGCATGACAGACATTTCAGGTCCAGGCCCTTGCAGACCTGAACTCCTAGCTGATCATGGGAACCTGTTCAATGGCAGAGGGTCTTCCTTCTTTTTGACACTATCCTAATATTGTGCATAACATCCTCCTGAGGATGAAATCATGC